AAAAAAAAAAAAATAAGTATTATAATAAATTCGGTAAGATAGAAAAGAATATTTTTTGTGATATGTCTGTTCAAGGCAGGAAAAAGTTAACAAGTCTCATTCTTTTGAGACAATACTGTTGTTTTAACACAGTCGTGGGTTTCCTAATTTTTAAAGTGCATTGTTGCACTGGAAAAAAAGTTTTTTTTTTGTTTTTGTTTTTGTTTGTAACTCTATTAAAATAGCGTAGATATTATTGCGAATTGTATTGTTACAATCATTGCTAAGGTATATCTCGTCTGCACGTGCACAGAACCGTCTGATTGGTTTGAACTGCCATTTTCAAAAATGAGACAGTTTTCTTTTACATCCAAAGACGCCCTGAACAATGAATCTAGTAGTAATGCAGACCTCATCCAGAAGGATCTCCTAGAAACGCACAAATTATTGTTTTCACTAATATCAAGGTACTCTAAATTTGATCCGGCAAATGAGAACCATGAGTCGTTAAGGACACCAGAGAAATTATTGGAAGAGAAATCAATCCTTTTTACTTTTACCAGTTTCGCCCCGTCCCATATTGGCAGTGAACCATAAAGAGATGCTCTTGATATGGAGAGGTATTCAAGACTCTTAAGCTCTTCCCATTTGTTGGGAACTGTAGATTTAATTGAAGTATTGCTAAGATTCAAACTTCGCAAGTGGATAAGTCCACTCCATGAAGCTGGAAGAGTTCCAGTTATTCCAATATTATTTGAGAGGTCTATTGAAGACAATGAAATTGAACCATGAGAAATTCCGTCCAATTCTGGCAAAGTACCAATCAAACCCATTTGACTCAAGTTAAGTATACTCCCATCAGTATTTTCATATGACCCACAAGTAATCCCTCCCGAATTTTTACAATAGTTATCTCCGTCCCATGTAATAATACCACCAAAAGACTTCGAGATTTTGGCTAAAGCCAACGTTGTTGGATCTGGTGTCGTTGGAGAACCTTCTGGACCTAAATAACATCGCATGTTGGGACTACGGCAAATATTAACAGTTTCACAGTTTTCATCATCAAGAGCAGGATTGGCTAATATGGCTGCCTCCCTTAAAACTGAAGATTTCCACGTTGATGGAATACAACCACAAAAACGATTTTTACTTATATTAAAGTAAGTTAACTTTGTAAAAGATCCCCATGAACTTGAAAGATATCCATGTAAAACATTTGAGGAGAAATCTACACGCCTTAGATTTGGCATATTTTTCTCATCCCATGACGGTAGTCCTAGGCATGCCAGTGTACGCTTTACGTATATTTCTTCAAGATTTCGTAGTGTCCTCCATTGCCATGGAATAGGGCCATAAATGTTCGTCTCTCCCAAATCAATTACACGAAGCTGCGTAAGGGTACCCCAGGTTGAGGGAAACAAACCCGTAATACCACTGTTGTTAGATAAATCAATCGATACAATTGCTACGCGCGCACCATTAATATAAGGAGAAACCTCTGGAAGAGTACCATTTAGAGAACTTCCACTAAGGTTGAGACGCACCTCCAGGACACTACTATTGTTGTTGCACCTCACACCCTTCCAATTGCTACCACAGTAATTCATACCACCCCATGATTCCTGAAAATCTCCACGGAGTGAGTGTTTAAGCGTCTTGAGAAACTGCAAGGTATCGTCTTGATTCAGTTTTTCACCACCGTTATCTACGAAGCATCGACTATTGACATTTCCACACGCATTTGAGACAGAACAGTTTTTGTATAACAGTTGAGGATTTGCAATTACTGCAGCAGAATTAAGGAGTTCAACGTCTTTCCAACTCGAAGGGATACAACCGCAAAAACTGTTACCAGTAATGTTCAGTGATTGTAGGTTTAATGATGACCATTCATCCTGCAAGGTCCCTCGAAAACCGTTGTAAGAAAAATCTACTTCTCGCAGGTGATGAAGCGTCTTCCCATTCCAACGTGGAAGTCCTTGACATGCCATTATATTACTCACACGTATTTTCTCTATATATTCCATTCTCCTCCATTCATCCGGTATCTCCCCGTACAAGGAAGTTCCACTAAGGTCTATCTCACGCAGAAGTGAGAGTTTTTCTCCCCAAAATTCAGGAAATCTACCTCTAATATTTTTGTTACCTGATAGAATTAGGGAATCAACAAGCACAGGTGCTCTTACGTCATATAAAGATGGTAATTCCCCCACAAGTTCACGGAAAGATAAATCGACACGAATTCCCTCATTTGAATGTTCTGGGCATATAACTCCTTCCCATTTACAATATTCCCTGCCCTCCCATTCTAAGGAGAGGGCAACTGCTAAAGCCCTCAAAAAAAGAAAAGTGCCAAAGTCCCTATGAAGACCATCATATGTTTTACTACAGGAATTCGTTTCATTGCACAGGGGTACAACGAGAAGAGGACTTGAGCGCCGCGCTGCAACCCGAAGAACTGGCAAATTCCAGGTAGTAGGCATACAATCACAAAACCTATTCCCTCTTAAATCCAATTCCTGTAGAACACTTGACGATGGTAGTGAACCCCAAGACGCTGGAAGCTTTCCAGAAATATTATTACCAGCAAAATTCAAGCGTCGACATCTGGGTAATTTAACGATAGGCCAATCCGGCAATGTAGTCAGGTTTGTGTGACTTACATCTAGTTCGACAAGCTCATGTAGGTCTTTCCAAGAGGAAGGTATGGTTCCACTCAGTGATGTATGACTCAGATTTATGAATTGTACTAACACTAGTTTTCGCCAACTTTCCTTAATGCAACCACGAACAGACGGATTAAACGAAAGATCCACAGAAATCACCCTGTTTCCACGATAATTTTCTAAAAGATCTGGAATTTCACCACTCAGATTAGAATGCGAAAGATTCACCCACACATTATCGTCACTGCAAGTGATCCCGCGCCAAGTACAATAATTATCACCACTCCATTCATACAAGTGAAATTCCCTCGCAAACAGCATCAAAAACTGTAATGTAGAAGAATTTTTGGCTCCTCCAGTACCTAAAAAAACCGTACAAAGAATAATGCACCACAACATTTGCCGCAAACCCGACAAACGCGCCATGGGCCTAACTCCGCCTGACCTAAACAAAAAAAAAAAAAGAAAAAAACCACAATATGAAAAATACAAAAATTACCCCCACCCCCAAAAAACACTATTCTTACACTGTAAAAGAGCAACATCTACAACGGTAGTAAAAAAATAGGAAAAATATAAATTTAAACAATATATTCTTTAACGAACCACACACATTCACCGAATGTTTTGCACAAAGAAAACCCTCAAAACAGGAAACAAATTACAGCAAAAAATTCCATGATCCTAAAAACAAAAATCACACATGGAAGAATTGCATCACCGGAGATTAACTTTGGCATAACGACGGAATATAATTACTTTAGCGTACATGTATTAATATTATGAATGGTAACACAAAATAAGATATCTATTTTATAATAAAATAAAACCTGAAGCGGTAACCACCAAAAAAAAAAAAAAAAAAAAAAAA